GGGGCGGGGCCATGGCCGCCAAGACACGCCCCGCTATGCTGCGGCTGACCCCACGGCCTCGCTTCCGTTTTGGGGCGGGAGCGGAGGAGGCCTCGTGGCCGCTGTGCCAAAATGTCTATGGGGCCTGAGTCCCTCACCCTCTTGCTCCCTTCCCCTTCCTCCTCCCCTTCCCCCACCTATGTCTCCCCTCCTCCCAGCTCTCCCCTCTGAGCCTCTCACCCTTCCCTTTCCCTCCTCCTCCCCCTCCTGTATCGAGATCATCATCAAGGTTGGTCACAGTGATTAGGACTTAGCCAGCCCACCCAGGAACCCCAAAGCCCTTACAACGATCCACATGCCCCGCCACCACCCCATGGACCCTCATCTCCCCAGTCCATCTCCAGCCTCACTGTCCCTGGAAGAAGCCCCGCAGGCTTCAACCCCAGGGCCTTCATACACCCTGCACAGGCAATTCTGTTCTCCCAGGTATCCGCCTGGCTCTATCCTTCATAACGTTGGTGCCACCATCACCCTATGACTGAGCACCCCCTGGCAGGTTCACATTCATTTGCATCCTTGCATTCTGACCATGTGCTCCAACTGGGATGCCAGCCCCTGAGGTGGGGCCCCCCACTCGTCCTCAACTCTAGAATGTGGCCTGGCAGGGAATGCCTGCCCACAGTAAATATTCTAGAATGAATGACTGAGGAGTCTTCTAGGTGCTGGCCCCGTCCTTAGTGCTTTGCACACAATGGCTCCATTTTACAGATAAGAAAACTGGGTGGTGGCTCACGCCTGTAATCCCAGCATTTTAGGAGGCCTGTAATCCCAGCATTTTGGGAGGCCGAGGCGGGTGGATCACCTGAGGTTGGGAGTTGGAGACTAGCCTGACCAACATGAAGAAACCCGGTCTCTACTAAAAATACGAAATTAGCCAGGCGTAGTGACACGTGCCTGTAATCCCAGCTATTCCGGAGGCTGAGGCAGGAGAATCGCTTGAACCCGGGAGGCAGAGGTTGCGGTGAGCCGAGATAGCACCATTGCACTCCAGCCTGGGCAACAAGAGCGAAACTCCACCTCAAAAAAAAAAAAAAAAAAAAAAGAAAACTGACGCACAGGGAAGCTTAGTTAAGCCAAACCGAGTTCCCTGGTTTCTAATGAAGAGGGAAATCAATGATAAGCATGTGAGCAAATGAGTGAAGGATAATTGCAGGCAATTGCTCCAAGAAAACAGAATAGGCCCGGTGCATGGTGGCCCACAACTGTAATCCCAGCACTTTGGAAGGTCTAGGTGAGGGATCGCTTGAGGCCACTAGTTGGAGACCAGCCTGGGCAACATAGTGAGACCAGTCTCTACAGAAAATTAAAAGATTAGCCAGGCATAGTGGCATGCGCCTGTGGTCCCAGCTCCTCAGGAGGCTGAAGCAGAAGGATCCCTTGAGTCCCAGAGTTCAAGGCTGCAGTGAGCCCTGATCTTACCACCACAGTCCAGCCTGGGTGACAAGAAGACCCCGGGAAAAAGAAAAGAAAAAAAGAAAGGAGAGAGAGGGAGGAAAAGAAAACAGAAGAAGATGCACAGCAGCGGGCTGGCACTAAGTGGCAGTTGCCCTTAGATGGGTGAGTGTGTCCCTGAAGCCCTCCACAGCCCCCTGAAGTCCTTCCCCACACCCCACCTGGCCTGCCTTCTGGTCCTGCAACACTGGCCCCACCTCGAGTTTTGGGCCCCTCACGTAGGCCAGTCCCCTCATTTTCTGAATGAAGTTATTGAGAGGACAAGAGACTTCTGGGTTACACAGGGACAGGAGGGTGGTGTCCCAGCACCTGGGTAAGGGAGGCTCAGTCCTTGAATGCTCTAAACCTCTTACTTAACCCCAGAAGAAAGCAGCCTTCTCCCAGGGCCATCCTTAAGCAACATGTCTTGGCCTGAAGCAATATTTACGGAGCATCTGCTATGTTCTGGTCAGACAGCTTTGCCTGGCACTGCCTTCCTCTAAGGAGGCCGAATATGGTCCAGTGCCCCAAGGGGGAGGGCCCAACTCCTGAGGGAGGTCAGAGTGGCTAGGGTGAGGCTATGGTGGCCCAGGGGGACAGGTTCAGAGAAGTCCAGGCTCTGGGGTTTCCCACATTGGAGTCCTAGGGCAAGTGGTGTGGACCTTTCTGTGCCTCAGTCTCCTCATTTATGAAACAGGGATTAGAAGAGCCGCTTTCCAAGGGCTACCGTGAGGATTAAACAAGTCAAAAACTGTGCCAGTGCTTAGAACAGTGCCTGGAATGTGTCAGTGCAACTGAGCTGGGGGCTGTCATTGTTATTTCCAGGACCTACATGACCTGGCTCCTGCCCATCTCTCTGCCTCCATCTCCTGCCATCTCCCCCATTGTTTCTGTTCATTGAGCGTCCCCAGCTTTTTCTTGTGTCAGGACCTTTGCACTTACAGTTCCTCTGTCTAGGATACACTTTCCCTAGATCCTTCCACGGCTCCCCACTCTCCTCTTCCAGGCTCAGCTGAAACCTACTCCTCAGAGAAGCCTTTGCCGTTGCATCTGTCGAAAACAGGAGTCCTAGCCCACTGTGAGGCCACCTTGTGTTGTGTGAAATGGTCTCATCTGTTTACTTGTTCATCTCCTCCAACTCCCGAGACACAGAAGCTGACCCTGTTTCGCTTATCGGTGTATCTCCAGCACCTGGAAAAATGCCTGGCACATAGCAGGTACTCAATAAATACTTTACTCAATCAGCTAATTAACTCATTTATTAATCAAGTAACTATCAATTCATTCATTAATATCACTTCATTGAATTCCTTAAGGCCTTCAACAGCCTTCAGCTGTGCAGTTGCCTTTTCTTAAATGACTTTTGTAGTTCTCAGAAATTAGCCAGTTAACTAAAATCTGTGGTCTGCCTGGCCCTGACACCCTCCCCCACTTCCTTGATACTGACCTGCCTTGACCATCTCACTCAGTCTAACTCTGATTCATGACCAAGTCTTCAAGGTCCAAATGTACGTGGTGCTTACCCAAGAAGGCTGCAAGGCCATGGTTGGAGAGCCCTCATGTCACGCCATGCTGTCACTCAACGAGAGAGAAGGGCAGAGATGACAGGGTGCTGAGACACGTGAGCCGCCTTGGCCTTGCTGAGGGGAGTCACTTCCGGCGGCAGGGAGGGCAGCTGAAGGAGGGAAAAAAAGACTTCGTCATGTTTGAGGGAGAGGTCCTGCCCTGGGGAAAGTCAAAGATACAGAAGAAAAGAAAGAGTACTGATAACAAAACATGATCAACATGGTGTCACGGGGCTCCTGGAAAATCAAGTCAGATGCTTTTCCTCCTCTGCTCAGCATCCTCTCGTGATCAAAGATGGAGAATGAGTGTAGGCAAAGACCTGGAGGGGTTGGAAGCTTCATGAGGTGCTCGTGGGATTGTAAAATGGTGCAGCCTCAAAAGGTAAACATAGGGGTCCCCTAAGACCCAGCAGTTCCACTCCTGGGTGTGTGCCCAGGAGAGAGGAAAGCGCGTGTCCACATGGAAGCCTGGATGCAAATGTTCACAGCAGCCAAGCAGCGAAAACAACCGCCACCCCCATCAGCTGGTGAACAGGCAAATAAAATGTGGCATAACCACACACTGGAATATGACTCAGCATGAAAGGGAATGAAGTGCTGACGCATGCTACACCATGGATGAACCTTGAAAACACTGATAAGTGAAAGAAGCCAGACACAAAGGCCACATATATGATTCCGCTTATATAAAAATGTCCACAGTAGGTAGATCTATGCAGACAAAAAGTAGACCAGTGGTTGCCAGGGGCTGGGGAAAATGAGGAGTGACTGTTACAGGTTTGGGTTTCATTTTGGAGTGGTGAAAATGTTCCAAAAGTGATGGTAAAAGTGGTGGTAATGATGGTTGCACAACTCTGTGAATATACAAAAAGCCATTAAATTGCACACTTTATTTACTTTTATTTTTTAAGAGACAGGGTCGGCCGGGCGCGGTGGCTCAAGCCTGTAATCCCAGCACTTTGGGAGGCCGAGACGGGCGGATCACGAGGTCAGGAGATCGAGACCATCCTGGCTAACATGGTGAAACCCTGTCTCTACTAAAAAATACAAAAAAACTATCCAGGCAAGGTGGCGGGCGCCTATAGTCCCAGCTACTCGGGAGGCTGAGGCAGGAGAATGGCCTGAATCCGGGAGACAGAACTTGCAGTGAGCTGAGATCTGGCCACTGCACTCCAGCCTGGGCGACAGAGCAAGACTCCGTCTCAAAAAAAAAAAAAAAAAAAAAGAGACAGGGTCTCGCTCTGTCACCCAGGCTGGAGTGCAGTGGTGTAATCTCCCTAAAGCCTTGAAACCATCCTCCCGCCTCAGCCTCCTGACTAGCTTGGATGACAAGTATATGCCACCATGCACACCTGTTTTCATTTTTGTTGGGACAGGGTCTCGCTTTGTTGCCCAGGCTGCTCTCAAAATCCTGGTCATCCTCCCACCCTGGCCTCCCAAAGTGCTGGGATTACAAGTGTGAGCCATCATGCCTGGCCAAATTATATACTCTAAATGGGTGAATGTATGATATGCAAATTATATCTCAATAAAAACTGTTATTTTAAAGAAATGGCCAAGCATGGTGGCTCATGCCTATAATCCCAGTGATTTTGGAGGCTGAGGCAGGAGGATCCCTTGAGGCCAGGAGTTCGAGACCAGCCTGGGCAACATAGCCAGACCCCATCTATATAAAAAAATAAAAAATTAGACAGGTAAGGTGGCACGTACCTCTAGTTTCAGCTACTGAGGAGGCTGAGGTGGGAGAATCATGTGAGCCCAGGAAGTCGAGGCTACGGTGAGTGAGTTATGATTGTGCCACTGCACTCCAGCCTGGGCAACACAGTGAGATCCTGTCTCTCAAGAAAACAAAAAGAAAGAAACCTTTCTGTGGCTCCCACCTCATTCACCGTAAAAGTCAAAGCCCTCACCATGGCCCACAAGATCACCACATCTCATGCTAGAGAGACAAAGTCAAAACACACCCAGATCGGCACATCTCCCTGACCTCATCCCCCTCCCTCCCCTTGCCCACTCTGCTCCAGCCACACCCTCCTCCCTGGAACTCCTCCACCTGCCGCCCGGCTGGTGCCCCAGAACCTTTGCACTCCCTGGTCCCGTCCTGGAATGCTCCTCTCCCTAACACCCAGGAGGCTTACCCTCCCTTCCTTCAGGTCCATGCTCCAATGTCATCTTCTCAGCAATGACTGCCTTCCTGCCCACCCTTGGAAAGTTACAAACCACCCACAGGACCCTCCCTATCCCCCTTGGCTGCTGCATTTCTCTCTGTGCACCGACCGCCCTCCAGGGCAGGTGTTTGCTTGTTTGATTGGCTTCCTTCCTCTTCTAGGATGAAAAAAGCTCCATTGGGCAGGAATCTGCCTGTTTCACCCATTGCTGTGCCCCCAGCTCCTGAACATCACGTGGCCCACAGTAGGCCCTTGGTCAGTGTGTGTGGATGAATCACATCTACCAGAATCCAAGGTAAAAGCTTGCCTCTGCTGCCGGGCCATGCGGCTGCCTGGCGTGGTGGCCTGGGGCAAGTTGCTCAGCCTCTCTGTGCCCCGGCTCCCTTATCAGTGGCTCGGGCATGGTCTGAGTCATGCCTGCACCCTAGGGTGGTCATGAGGATTACATGGGCTCATCCTGGTCATATGCTTCCCGAGGTGACTGTGTGAGGCGGAGCCAACACCCCCTGCAGGCAGCCGCATGCCCTGTGCCCCACCCCAGCCTGGGAAGAATCACTCTCGTCCCCAGGGGCAACAGAACACACTGCAGGGAAGCTGAAGGGCTTCCTTAAAGGAGGCACAGCTGGCTCCTGGCGGAGCAGAGAGCAGAGATGTGAACCAGTGACTTGGCACGAACATTACCACTACGCTGTTTGCTGAGGGAAAGGAAAAAGAGGAAGAAAGTGAAGGAAAGTGGAGAGACGGGGGTGAGAAAGGACAAAGTAAAAAGCAAAGGAAGAGGAAACTTTATTTTTTTTTTTTTCTTTTGAGATGGAGACTCGCTCTGTGGCCCAGGCTGGAATGCAGTGGTGTGATTTCGGCTCACTGCAACCTCTGCCTCCCGGATTCAAGCAATAATTCTCCCTGTCTCAGCCTCCCGAGAAGATGGGATTACAGGTGCATGCCACACGCCCGGCTAATTTTTTTTTTTTTTTTTCTGAGGCGGAGTCTTACTTTGTTCCCCAGGGTAGAGTGCAATGGTGTGATCTTGGCTCACTGCAATCTTCTCCTTCCAGGTTCAAGCAATTCTCCCGCCTTAGCCTCCCAAGTAGCTGGGATTACAGGCACCTGCCATCATGCCTGGATAATTTTTGTATTTTTGTGGAGACAGGATTTTACCATGTTGGTCAGGCTGGTCTTGAACTCCTGACCTCGGGTGGTCTGCCCACCTCGGTCCCCCAAAGTTCTGGGATTACAGGTGTGAGCCACTGCACCCAGCCAATTTTTGTATTTTTAATGGAGATTCCGTTTTACTATGTTGGCCAGGCTGGTCTCAAACTCCTGGGCTCAAGTGATCCACCTGCCGCAGCCTTCCTGAGTGCTGGGATTACAGGCGTGAGCCACCACACCTGGCCAGGAAAGCATTTTAGCCACATTTGCCACCTGGATCGCTGCTGGTGAGGGAGGAAAGAGAGCTCACGTGTGCCTGCTGGATTCAGTTCACACTGAGCTCCTACTCTGTGCTGGGCACTGTGTTGGGGGCTTGGGGACCCAGCAGGGACCATAAGCAAGCCCCTGGCCTCGCAAGTCCTACATGTTAATAGACAAGCAATAACAATGAGTGATAAACATCATCACTGGTGACTTTATAAAACGTTAGAGCTGTGGGCCCAGCATAGTGGCTCATACCTGTAATCCTAGCACTTCAGGAGGCCGAGGCAGGTGCTTTGCTTGAGCTCAGGAGTTCGAGGCCAGCCTGGCCAACACAGCAAACCCTGTCACTACAATAAACACACACACACACACACAAAGTAGCTGGGCATGGTGGCACGCACCTGTAGTCCCAGACACTCAGGAGGCTGAGGTGGGAGGATCACTTAAGCTCAGGAGGCAGGGGTTGCAGTGATCCAAGATGGCACCGCTGCACTCCAGCCTGGACGACAGAGCAAGACCCCATCTGAAAAAACAAAGCAAAACGATATTAGAGCTGTGCAATCCAATATAGTAGCCACCAGCCTTATGTGGCTATGGGCCACTTAACACGGGGCTAGTCTGACATGAGATATGCCGTGTCATATTCATCCCAGATTTCAAAGGCTTTGTAATGAAAACAGCATAAAATATCTCAACATTCTTATATTGATCACACATTGAAATGACACTATCTGATATCAAGGGTTGAATAATAGATACAAGTTAAATTAATTTCACCTGTTTCTTTTTACTTTTTAAAATGAGGCCCCTAAAATTCTTTTATATTTTTCTTCTTTCAGAACAGGTTCCTCTGTCATAAAATGTTTCAAATTGTGTGTGTGGTTTGTGCACGCTGCGTTTCCATGGGACAGGCAGTTAGAGGACGATGCATGCTTTAGGAGAAGAAACTCAATAGTGTAAATGCTACTGGGGGAGAGGGGTTGCTATTTAAATGGGGCGTTTGGAGACAGCCTCAGTGAGAAGGTGACATTTGGGCAAAGACCTGCAGGAAGTGCAGGAACATGTTGAGATCCAGGGAAGACCATTCCAGGCAGACGGAATAGCCAGGGCAACGGCTCTGAGGCCGGAGGTGCCTGCATAGATTTTCATCAGAATGTGAATCTCTCATGTTGCTGCAAGTGACTTTTTAGGAACTGTTTCTCTTCAGTAAGTCAAAATGCACCCTGCAATATTGTGAATATCAGAGAAGGTCTCCAGAGCCCCCAAACAGCCCCCTCCAGAAACTTAGCCTCTGCCCCTGGACTTTAGCCCCTGTGCTAGAGTCTGAACGTGTCCCCTGAAATTTGTACATTGAAACCGAATTACCATGTGATGGTATTAGGAGGTGGGGCTTTTGGGAAGTGATGAGGTCATGGGGGAAGAGGCCTCATTGATGGGACTAGGGCCCCTTACACACGAGGCTCCAGAGAGCTGCCTCTCCCCTTCCACCAGGCAAGGACGCAGAGAGAAGTTGCCATCGGTGAACCAGGACGCAGGGCCTCACCACCACCAAATCTGCTGGCACCTTGATCTTGGACTTCCCAGCCTCCAGAACTGTGAGAAATAGGTGTCCATTGTCTATGAGCTGCCCCAGTCTATGGTACTCTGTTTTAGAAGCCTGAACAGACTGAGAGAGGCCCTGTAAATCCTGTCTTCCTTCAAAATCACACCTGTCTGAGTCCCCGACCACTGACTTCCCTCAGGAGCCTTTCCTTTCTGACTCAGGGATAGCAATCAATCGTCACCTTTGTCCCTGGCCTTTGGGGACTCTGATATGTCCTCTCTGACAAGGACTAACCCTCCGACACAGACATGCTTTCCAGGACAAAGGTGCAAGTGTGTGGGGAGGACCCAGCTGGCAGCCGTGAGCTAATAGGCCGCCCCATGGGCCAGGTCACCAGAGAAGAGAAGTGCTATCAGCTCCCACTCTCAACAGCAGCTGGAGGAAGGAGGATGACTCCTACCCAGGACCCAGTAGGTTCCTCTGAGACCACCTGGTCCTATCCTAACTACCAGAGAAGGGATGGACCTGCTCAATCATTCATTCATTCATGTGGCAAATGCTGAGCACTCACTATGCATCAGGCCTACTGTGTGCTAGGGCCTGGGGGCAGATGGGGAAGAAGGCAGGCAGGTCCTCTCTGCCCTGGCCTTACTTTTTTTGAGACAGGGTCTGGTTCTGACACCCAAGCTGGAGCGCAAACTCACTGCAGCCTCCATCCCCTGGGCTCAAGCCATCCCCCTACCCTCAACCTCCTACAGGCATGTGCCACTACACCAGCCTTTTTTTTTTTTTTTTTTTTTTAAAGACAAGAGTCTTGCTCTGTCGCCCAGGCTGGAGGGCAGTGGCGTGATCTCAGCTCACTGCAACCTCCGCCTCCCGGGTTCAAGCGATTCTCTTGCCTCAGCCTCCCTCCCAAGTAGCTGGGACTACAGGCGCCCGCCACCACTCCCAGCTAATTTTTGTATTTTTTAGTAGAAATGGGGTTTCATCATGTTGGCCAGGCTGATCTCAAACTCCTGACCTCAAATGATCCACCCACCTCAGCCTCCCAAAGTGCTGGGATTACAGGTGTGAGCCACCACACCCAGCCAAGCTAATTTTTTTTAATTTTTATCTTTTTAAATAGAGAATGGGGGGGGGTCCCACTATGTTGCCCAGGCTGGTTTCGAACTTCTGGACTCAGGCGATCCTCCCTCCTAGACCTCCCAAAGTGCTGGGATTATAGGTGTGAACCACCACATCTGGTCTGCCCAGGCCTTTTTAGTAAGGGAGAGAGAGAGAGAGAGAGAGCAAGAGAGAGAGATTTATAAATATATTTATAAGCATATTTAAAGGAAATAAATAGATAATGATTATAGATGGTGCTAAGTGCTAATGAGAGAAATAAACAGGTAATGCCACAGGGAGATGGGGGCTGGAGTGGGGAGACCGGAAGGGTGAGAGCTGGGGAGGACATTTCTGGCAAATGAACCGGCAAGTGCAAAGGCGCTGTGTCAGGGAAGTGCTCACCCTGCCCGAGGAACAGATCATCAGGGACCACTGCGCCTTAGACGGTGCAGTCACCCCAGTTTATACCTCTTGCCCCAGTAGTATCATTAACAGCACCTCCAAGTCACTGCATGTTGGGGTGGCCTGTGACACCCCAACTGCAGTGAACTGAAACACACAGGCTGGCTGCAGCTCTCGAGCAAAGGTCACGGTCCCTGGAAGGCAGCCCTCTCTCGACTCCTCTCTCCTCCCGGGTTCCAGGCGACACTCCCTGCCCTCCTCCCCTCAGCCCCAGGGGTGGGAGCAGCTTCACTCTTCGTTTTGTTTTCCCTGCACCTTTGTATATATCCTCGAAGTCTCCAATTTCGAGTGTTCTCTCCACTTCCTGCTCAGACCACTGCAGGAACTGATTCTGTGGTGGGAAAGGAATTAGAGGAGAGAAAGAGAGGCTTAGAGGCAGCGTCCAACTGTTGGGGTAGAAGCCTGGAGGTAACAGCCGGCACAGTGGCTCATGCGTGTAATCCCAGCACTTTGGGAGGCCAACGCGGGAGGATGGCTTGAGGCCAGGAGTTCAAGACCAGTCTGAGCAACATGGTGAAATCCCCTCTCTACTAAAAATACACAAAATTAGCCGGGCTTGGTGGCATGTGCCTGTAGTCCCAGCTA